CCTACATGGTGAGATATATATGGTTATGCGTTCTTGTTATAAATAATATATTTATTTTTTTTTTTTTTTTAATAAGACCGATATCAATTGATGACTTAAATAATTCACTAATATGCATTAAATTCTAATAAAAATATGATGATAATCGAGATTATATTATTGAATCTTTTGCAATGAAATTCAGCTTATTGATCCACATAATAAATCCTGATGAAAATACATAAATACATAGAAGGAAAACATAGTTAGGCAATTGAATAAAACGAAAAATTATATATTTTAATACATTATATTGTTATATTAATAAAATCACTTTAGTTATTTAGAAAACGAATATTTCGAAAGTTGATCAATACTCAAAACCCGTTTATTAATGTAAAGCAGTGAACAAATTCAAAGCGTTGTAATACAAAAATAACTAAGAAATAAAGAAAATACACGACTAAAGTCGATATTTTATTTTACATGTCTGACTTCTATTAAAATTTAATGGTATAATTATGTGGTGCACAACAATATTTAGATCATTAAATTATAATATTTTGAATAATATTCCAAATGATCAAATGTCAACGAGACATAAAAATTACTACTTATGAAATTTATGATTGGATATTATTGTTATTTACAGAATTCTAGTTTTTTGTAAAGCATAATATTCGTAAAAAAAAAAAAAAACGAAAAAGCGCAAACAGTAAATAAAAAATAATTATTTTACTAATGAATGTCTGCTGCTTAGAAAATGTTTGTGATCTATTTTGAATACATTTTGTCGTTCTTTACTGCTATAATAATAATAATAATAATAACGCAAGACTATGCATAATATTATATAGGAAATAAATATAAACATTTAATTTTTAAAGATAGGGCAACACTCACTAGTCGTAATAGTATTAAAAAAAAAAAAAAAACATGAGTTGCATTTTTTTACGATAACAATGTATGTTTTAAAAATGTGTAAGGTAATCTTGAAAAAATCCAGCAATGTAGCACATAATAACGAGAGAAAATATTTCATCCACGTGAATTGTTTGCTGACTTTGACTATACCGCTATATAATAATAATAATAATAACAATACATTAAGCGTCTGAATAAATCAAAAACGAAGTGCAATACATTTAAATATCGAGTTCTGGCAATGACAATGGTATAAAAAACGGATCGTGAGTGTAGCGTTTACGCGCACCAATTGAATATCTACCACGTTTTTATTTTATTTTTACACATAATACTAAACGATTGATTTTAAAAAACTTTGTGAGTCGTATTTAATACAGATTCCAAATTATGCTTTATGGTCTACTTATGTCGTTGTATGTTACTGATAAATTATCATTAGTGTAGATATAGTAAATGTCAGTGGCACACCGAGAAGGGCAGACTTCATCACCACGCAAGAAAGAACTATGTTAATCAAAGAATGTAAAATTTATTTTTTTTTTTAAATTTTCAATAAAAAAAGAAAAGAAATGATAAATTCAGTGAAACCTTTAAAGGACACTTCTAAAAACAGACACCTTCAAATAACAGATATTTTTGTGGATATGGGGAAATGTTCACTACTTTCATACAGAAAAGCCCCTAAATACCGGACACTTTTATTGCAATTTAATTTTGACTTTGGCAATTATTATTGTTAGAATAGATAAATTGTGAAATGCCAATTTAACCTAAACTTTCAACTAGGTATTATAAATCATTATACTGTTATAGTTTATCTTATCCGTCAATTATATCGCGTCGATGAAATCATTTTTCTAGATTATATTTTATGAAGTTATGCCACTCGTATTTAATTGTGTTTGTGATTCCATCATATTCAGACGTGTTAGGTTGGGTTACTATGCATCAAGATCTTAACCAAGCAAAAGTAACTGATTATTTCAATAATTATAAATAATAATATTTTTATTTTAAAATTATTTTTGTTTATATTTTTACTTATTTTTTCAAATACAATACATAATAGGTACCTACATATCATAATTTTAGATATTAATATATACAATTAATATTTGCATTAAAATAATACAAATGTATAATGCATTCAAATATCATTATTATAAATATTAAATTAATACATGATGTAAATAATAAATTATGTATATGTGTAATTATTAATTTCTCCGAGTTATATTTAAGAATTTACCTCTTTCCCTCTGAATATCGGACACCTCTAAATAACGGACAAAATTACGGCAATCAAGAGTGTCCTGTATTTAAAGGTTTCACTGTAATCTGATAGAAATAACTAATAAGTTTTTTTGATTATACCATTCTTACAAAAATAATAATAATAATAAGTACCTACCTATACAATATTGGTTGTATCCCTGGTAAATTAATTATAGGAGACTATTATGTATGTAGATAATATATTTTGTGATCGTGAAAAAATGTTTTATTTTCGCTTAATTGGATGATTCTAATTAATTACACTAATAGTACTTTACTTCAATTACGATTCTGTAAGAACTATTTAAGTTCTTTGTAATATTTATAAGGGAATGATTGAAGATTTTTTTTTTTCATAATTACTTTTAAATAAACAAATGTTTTACCTCAACATTTTTTAAACGCTTTAATTTTTAAACTTTATTATATTTTACATACGCATGACGCATGTTCAAAGAAGAAAATAAAAAAAAACTTGGCCACTCACTCGTACACGTTTTGAAGAGTTTAATTTTTTTTATTTTATTTTTATTTTTTTTTTAGAATAAAAATCAGTAGGGTGTTACTTCATACAGTTGGAATTAGAATGAGTAGTTATTGACCAAAACTGCAAGAAGGGACCTTTAACAACTTTTAATTGTATTCGATGTATACGTACGTATACAAAAAGTGCAGTGTTCGGTACTGTTACTCTTTTCACGTCAAAAAGAAGATGAAAATTATTCATATTTTTATTTATTTTTTAATACGATTGCAGCGTTTTCAAAATAATGAATATTATAAAAACTCAGCGAACTGTGAATTTAAAAAAAATCTTGAGATGTTCATAATACATTTATATGTCACAATCATGACATGATGTGTGAAATAGGGTATGTACACAAAAGCCGACTTTTAAAAGTCAAAGATAAAATCCTTCATAAAATTGCGTTCATAATCGAATTGTAGCGCAACAACAAATTAATAAGTGAATACCACAACTCACAAGCACGATCAATGGTAGGTGTAATTATTATGTGTGTGATGTAAAATACAGCTTGAGACATGTATCATTTTAAAGCAATATGAAATATTATATTATTATTTATCACACAGAAATTCAAAAAACGATGTATAATCTACGTAAAATATGATTCAAAATATTGACATGAGTCATTAATATTAAGTAAGGAACATATTGAAAAAGTATTTTTTATTTTTTTTTTTAATTTCTTTATTTAATTAAATTAAATATAACTTTTTATTATTGGTTTGTAGTTTATTCATTTTACGAAAATTCGATATGAAATCTATAATAATTAGGACGATAACTATTAACAGTACAAATAAGTCATCAGGCAATGCATAGAGCAACCCCAATCAACAAAGAACAACAACAATAGCACATATAATTTAGTTAAATAATTAACTAAAAATATTTAAAACATGTGTTAAATTAACAAAAAAAAATATAGCAATTGAGGCACTAATTAACAGTCTAGTCCAGACTATAGGTATGAATTTTAAAAATTAAATTTTTCACTGTAATTTATAAAAATAATATTGGATTGGTGTAATATGATATAATAATATAATCGTAAAACGTTCGAATATCAAAGGAAAGTCGACGAGATTGAAAGCCGAAACATTACAGTACGGCGACGTGAGAGATTATGCAACAACTTAAGAGACGTAACCGAATTAATACAGTGCAAATAACCGGTTTTTGGAAACGCATCTCACCAACTGAGAAATTTTCATAGTAAAAAACATAAAATATTACATAAATAAGAAGAAAAAACCACAGATATATATTTAACAAAAAAATGGATCAATCGTATTTGTTAAAAACATTTATTATTTTACATAATTTAAAATTATTAGAATAGACATTTTTTGAAAAATATACTTAATTATTAATATTTTACAATACTTTACAAAATTTTAAATCTCATAATATACTATACAAATATTTTTCTTAGATTTTTGATACACAGCTACATTAAAATTAGATTTCTAGCCTCAAATTAATAGTTAGCTTTGGTTGTTATAAATAATAAATCAAAGTCTAAGATATTTTGAGACACCTTACTCTGCTCAACTCCACATAAAAATGTACTGTGTATTATATTAATATAACTAATTATTAACTATAAATACAATGTTCGATTTTATATGTCAAAAACCTTACCAGAAATTTTAAGAAATTAAAAATTGAAAAATGTATTTCTTTTTTTCAAGCGTTTGTATAGTAATGAGCTTAAACCAGGACTTACCTTTGAAAAAAAATTAATATATTATGTTATTTACAATTAAAACGTTATGCAAATTTTAATGTTATCATTATTCAGAATTTAAACGTTATTCAACTTTAGCGTTTATCGTTATTTAGAAATAAAATTTTAAATATATCTTATAAATTATAATTTATAACTATTAAATAATTGGAAATTAAATATTTTATTTAATGTATATGCTGTATATAACGTTTTTTTTTTTGTGTTATTTAATTATTTATGTTTATTGTTTTCCGTCATAATAAAGTTTACAAATTTTGATCGTTTTTTTATTAAATGTAACGTTTGCAAACCCTGGTATAAACAATAAAAAAAAAAAATTAAAAATAAATAAGAAAACGACAAGTGATAAGAATTTATAATGTATATGTCTACATATTATTATTATTATTATTATTATTATTATTACTATTGTAACCTATAACAAGATTAGTAGAGAATTTAAAAAAAATAACATTCATTTATCTTGAATTACTGGTTTTTGGGAGACAATATATGAAAAGATGCGCTGAAACCTCTGAAGTTATTATATATACAGTAAAACGCAATAATCGTAAGAGTACAGTGCACTATTATCGTCGTCCTGCAGCAGTTGTAGCTGGTAACTGCAGTGACTCGATCGATGAACAAACTGATCGAAAACTAAGTTCACGATGGCTACCACAATTGTGGTGAGTACTATAATATAACTATACTATCTATAAATGTTATTTTAATTGAAATAATTACTTACTCAACTATTGGACGCTTCGCTCGATGCCGTGTTTTGTTCCCGAATATTCTTAAGAGATGATACGCCGATCAAATGGACGACAACAACAGAAAACTATTTTGTTTCCCTTTTATCTAAAAAGAAAAATTTAAAAAATTAACATCAAATTATACGTGTGTAATATATTTTTTATCTTTGCCGTTTGTATTGTGATTATATCACTATGAAAATAGATTACTTTTAAATACAATGTGATGATACATAATATATAAGATTGAGATTTCGATACACTTTATATTGTTTGCCGAAACGCCCGAAGTAAGACAATACTCAATTTATAAGATAATGCTCGTACGTATGTTTTATGTATCCTTGAATTAAGCTTAGACTTTTTTTTTATTTTTCAATTTCAAAACATTGTTGTTTTATTAATATTTTGAAACATTTTAAGGGTTTTAGTATATTCTAATACTGACATCAAGTTTTTTTTTTAAATGTTTTCTTTGTAAAGTAAATTTATAAAGTGCTAATAAATTATTATTATTCATTCATTTTAATTTTTTTAATGAATCATCTATTCGACGTAAAAATCGAGATCACGCGCGTGTAGTACAGAAAATAACATTTTTCAGATTAAAAGTTATTGAAATTATGCATTCTTGCGATTTTTTTTTAATTTAATAAAACATATTTTTTTTAAACATTCTTATAATTAAAAAAATATGTACGTTATATACATACGATATTTTTAATCTTAAGAGCATACAAGTATTTTTTGAAATTGTTTAGGACATTACATTTCAGGTCTTAGTATTAATATAATGTAACGTTTAAGATAGTTTATTTTATAAATTGCTTAAAATTTATTTACAAACTTATTTCAAAAATATAACTGTTGATAGTATTCTTATAATTATTTAAGTATTACACTATATTATTATTTAATTCAACTTATTTAAGTTGGAAATGTTTTTGTTTTTTCTATACATTCATTTAATTAAAAAAATATATGACATAGTTAATTATGTTATTTGGTACAATCAATTTGTAATTTTAAATCTTAATATGTATTCTTAAAATAATTAAATTATATTCCATTATATTAAAATAATAATAGACAGAAAAAAAAAGTACTATAGTAGATACAATTATTTTTATTTTTATTAGTTGATTGAAGAAATAAAAAATAATAAAAATACCTAATTATAAATCGTTTTATAAACATAATGTTATTATGGTTTAAAAATTGATAGTAGCATAAGTAGTTCAATTATCTAAAATGGTCATAATATTATAATATATAATAATTGGGCAATTTAAAAAAAAATATAGAAAAAACCTAATAATAATTATGAGGTGTTTAGTACAAATTGAGATTTCTTTAAAATATAAAGTAATTATATTTATAAAATACTCTGTGTACTCATCAATTGACGTAATTTTATTGAGACTATATTTTACAAACAAATGCAAATGTCTAGGTCTAAGCTAATCTTACATTTTTTTTTCAGTTTCAAGTAGCCGTCCTAACATTTATTGTTGTATCCAGCGCATTCGCAGACGTTGTTCATCTGAAAAACGCCAAGCCATGCCATAAAACAGAATCTCAAAAAACGAAAGACTTTGGCGATGTTGCGTCAGCGACCGATGGTTATGCAAATGTGGCTTACTCCTACCCATCCGCATTTCCGTTAGGTGACAAGTCCTTTAGCACTTCATCTACTTTGGCTCCATTTAAATACGGAACTCAACCAACGCCTGCTCCGTTTGTGTTCAAATCGCTGCAATCTACCCCCGTACCATTTGCGTACAGCGGTTCGTCGTCTGCATCATCTTTATTCTCGGACAGTATTCACCCTACTCCTGCACCGTTTGAATTCAGTTCAGTGCAATCTACATCAACCCCCTTAACATACAGTAGTCCATCATCAGCACCGGAGGACTCGTTCAAATCCATTGCCACGTTCTACTCCCAATCCACTCCATCTACATTCTCGGTTGAATCCCAGTCCACCCCTGCATCATTCGCACTTAGTGATTCATCTTCTTCCCAAGTAGCTTCAGTCAAACCCTTCGCCACGTTTGGATTCCAAACCACTCCTGCTCCACTAGAATACAGCGCTTCATCATCCACACCGGAAAACTCGTTCAAATCAATCGCCGCATCATACTCTCAGTCCACTTCTGTACCATTGGCGTATAGTGGTTTGCCTTCTGATCCAATAGTTTCAGCTAAATCTATTGCCACGATTGGATTCCAGCCCTCCCCATCTCAATTCACGTTCTCGCAGGGAAGTTCTTTCGCTCAGTACAAAGGATATTCTGCACCATCTCCGAATCACGAGATAACCATCAACCGAGAAGTACCAGTACCCTACTACGTCCAAATTGAGAAGCGTATCCCGTATCCAGTATTTGTGCGGGTTCCTCATCCGTACCAAGTAACTGTCGAGAAGCACGTCCCGTACGCAGTTCGCGTACAAGTTGATCGAGCTGTGCCCGTTCCGAGTCCGTATCCAGTTGAAGTAGAGAAACGTGTCCCATATCCAGTTGATAAACCAATACCGTACGAGGTCCGCGTGCCCATTGACCGACCATATCCAGTAAGTGTGCCGTATGAAAAACCAGTGCCATATGCGGTCGAGAAACCGGTACCTTATCCAGTTCGCGTTAACGTCGACCGTCCGTATCCAGTTGAAAAACCTGTGCCATACCCTGTTGCCGTCGAACGCCCAGTTCCATATGCTGTCGAGAAGCCAGTACCGTATCCAGTCGAAAAACCAGTTCCATATCCCGTCGAAAAGCGGATTCCGTATCCGGTGAAGTACGAAGTGCCAGTCAATGTCCCAGTCCCTGTTCAAGTCAAGGTACCCGTGAACGTCGACAGGCCAGTGCCGTATCCAGTTGAAAAGAAGGTTCCGTATCCTGTAGCTGTGCCGTACGAAGTCAAGGTCCCGGTACCCGTCCAAACGCCAGCTCAACGTTTTGCCACTGTCCATTATTATCAACAGTCACCGATCGTCGTGCAGCAAGAATCATATAAGTCATATGCTTCCGGATCAACCGCTGCTCCAGCCACCGACAATTTTCTCTACCAATCTTCTTTTGGGTCTGGATCTGGAAAGATTGAATCTGATTATGCTGGATCTAACTATATCAAATCTGAATATGCCGGATCAGGTCTAACTCAGGAAAATGGATCATATGGTTTCGGGCAACAATCGTTCTATGGTTCTTCAACTCCCGTCCCGTATTCGGCAGCTAGTTCTGGAAAAACTGAATCTGATTATGCTGGATCTAACTATATCAGATCTGAATATGCTGGATCAGATCTTGCTCAAGAGAATGGATCGTATGGTTTAGGACAGAAATCATTCTACAGTTTCTCAACTCCTGTCCCGTCTTCAACAGCTGGATACACAGCACCATCATCCTCACCTCAATACGAATCGTCTGACTTTGAAAAAGTTGCCCAGCAAGTTTCTGTCGGAACGTCAGCCACCGCTGAGTCTCAGCAGACCGATAATCTTGAAGTTGGGAAGAAATAAATCTTCGAAATGTTTATATTACAATGTTATATTATTTACTTTTCATAAAAGCTATGCTATATCATATTATTATATTTTAATAAACACGTTCCCTGTATAATAAGAATACATATAATTATTATATAGTAGTTGCTTTATTTGGTGATTATGTGATCCTTACTTTAAAAAAAACACCTTACTATCGAATTAATACCACCGCGCTCGCCTAACGTTTATTTATGAAAACCAATTTCTACGGTGTTTACTTTTTCGAGGTATTCTGTGTGTGTGTTTACTGGTGTGAACAGAAATGCAAACGGAAGTTTATTTACAGTGCCAATTACTTTCAAAACAGCCAAACCGTATGTTTGTTTTGAAAATATAATAGGTGGTTCCGTGACAAAAAAAAAAAAAAAAATAAAAATAAAAAAAAAATAATATCCGTTAACCACGTCCTAAGAAAAAAAGCGATATTGTTCCTATTTCGAGTTCAATATTAAAAATAATAATCAACCAATCGTACACTCGGTGTATTGAAGCATATAAAAGAGAAAATTTCTACCATCACTCCAATTTGGAGTTAAACTTTGGGGAATTTTCAACAAAAGAATTACTATTTTATACCTACAACTATTTTTATTACTATTATTTGTCTATCAATTGGTATTTTAGATATATTATTTTAAAACTTTTATAGATATATAATTGATTATAACAGGGGTCTCCAAACTACGGCCCGCGGGCCGAATTCAGCCCCCGAATAAGTTTTCACTGGGCCGCCAAATAACGGAAAATATTCTAAAAATATATATACCTAGTTTTCATAGTCGTTATCGCGCGCACGAGCAATTATCAGCTGTATTAGATGTAATGTATAAATTATATACGAAAATTAAATGTATTCATACATTTTAGCCCGCTAAGAGCTTTTTTTATTTTATGTGGCCCTCAGATAAAAAAAGTTTGGAGACCCCTGGATTATAAAATTGCATAATGTTATTATTGTTTTATGTTTAGAAAAATATTATTATTGACAAGTCATATTTTATTTTAAAATTACTGGAAAACTATTTTAAAAAGGAATGCAGCATTTATCAGCTATATTATTTTTCTATTAGAGTACATTTAATTTTAATTAAGTTATTTTTTTTTTTTTTTATTAATATATATATATATTTTTTTTTTTTTTTTAATAATATTTTATGACAGATTAACCTGAATATTTGACAAATATATGCTAAAACATGTTGAATGTTTATAATTTCATGAAAACGTTCCGTACTAAAATATTTGTCAGTGACACATTTATTTAATGACGGGTAGGGGTTATAGGTTATATGATAAAATCAAATTCTTTACGATGTGCCCTATGTGTAATAATATTTACAAAGCGTTGTAATAATGCATTTTCATTTTTGCATATAAAAAAAAAAAATAATAAATATTAATATTAAATTCAACCGATCGATAAACACTTACACACCACAGTTGCTGGTGCTATGAGTGGTACGTATGTTAAACGTACACGACTGCGTCAAATACTCTTTATAAAGTTCCGAGATAGACATATTTTAACGGTAGGAATAACAATAATGATGAATAGGGCTAGGATTTATATGCAACAGTATATTTTTTTTTTTTTTTTTGAAACTTCTGATTATTGCTTTTGTATGTATTGTTCACGAATCACCTCATGATGATGATTGTATTTTACATATTTTTAAAAACTTTAGACAAAATGCATATTAATGCATATTTTATGGTATATTTACCACAATATGTATTGACGCTGTTCAAAAATACTTATTGAAGGTATACCTATATTAAGGTCAAACAAAAGACCGTTCAATTTTGAAAATTTAAAACACCGTGTAATAGTTTTGTGTAATACATTTGAATAGCGTGAATAGTTAAGAATATTATTTAACTAATTTTAAAACGCAGAATTTTTTTTTTAGTGTATATTTCACATTTTTGGCATATGTATATATAATATTAATTGTATATTTTGCATATTTTTAATAAATCAAATGCATATTTTACAATTTCTTATTGCATATAAATCCTGGCCCCAATGATGATCTTTAATGCATTTAAAATATCAAATATTTTACTTTTATATTATTGGCAAACATCTGATTAAAAAAAGTGCGTCAAAATCATGTAAGTACCTAATAGTCTTATGGTAAACCAACGACGTCAGTTGACAGTCGATACAATATCATGGTGTTTGCCGTACAGTATTTATTGAGAAACGTTTCGCGGTCCAACTCGTGTAGAACTGTATAGCTTTATGTACTGTAGTGTCTGTGACCTAACTCGTACGCACTAATATAATTATTTGATTTTGTCGGATAAACAACACGTGTCTATAAATGGACAGCCACGATGAGATGCTTTCATCATCTACTCGTTGCACGCGGTATTCTACGTCGTAGAATATTCTACACAGATTCGTGTCGGTGGACTTTACATATTATAATATTGTAACATTATACCTCTCGTATGATATCACTTCCAAAACAGAGTGAAATAATACAATTCGCGTGGGTTCCGCGAGATAATATTTTCATTTTTCTTTTATAACAAATGAATGTAGAAACCTTTTAGTCTCTTGGATACAATTTTTAGAAACATATATACGTATATACTTCCCCAGGGATGGATTTTAAACGTATAAGGAATTCGGAATTTGGCGGCTGCGACGGCGTACTTTCGCCCCTCAAGGAAAACCGTCGTAATACACCAATATCTGAATTTAAATTTTACGGTCATTTTGACTTTTTATCCGTTAGACGAGGGTCGAAGCTTTCCGCAATCATTTATATTTCAAACAACCTCTTCGATAATGCATTGACCCATACACCTCTCTCTACGCCACCCAGACATGCGTATATATATATATATATATTAATAAAAGTACCATTCTTGCTGTTTCGGCTCGTATAATAATATATTATTTTTGAGAGAAAACAAGGATTGAGTGCCCCCGACAATGTTTGGCATTTTCCGGACTTTATACATTCTATAATGTGATGAATTATGTAGTGGGATGGTCGAAAATATTGTTTCCCCGGCGGCCACTTTGCCCAGATGTAATAAACAAAATAATATTACACGTTTTAAACACGATAATTATTTTTAATATTATATTATGACCTCATTATCTGGTCATGTGATGGTAATATAATTGTTACAAATTAATTTCTTAAAATAATCGATAATAATTATTAAGTACCGAAAAAAAAAACTTATTTAAGTAATTTTCACAAAATATTTTATTTGTGATCTAAATTACATCATAAAAGTCATTAGACGCTAAGCTATAATAATCTTGTATTTATTCAAAAGTACTGTATTTTTTTAAATAGATTAATAATGCTTATTTTTACCAATTTGAAAAAAAAATTAATTTGTTATTAATTTATTAATTAATATTAATTATTAAATTTTGACACAACCGTTAAGGCAATAAAAAGCTTATCGAATTTTTAAAATACAAAATAACTTTAAGTCAATTTGCCCCTGATAAACTTGAACTGAACAAATGCATGGTGGGGAAATTGACTAACAAGTTTGTGAACTTATTAGTTTAAATTTTTGCTGAACTATTTCATACTTTAAATAAACTTTCAGCAAGGTTTTTTATATTTTTCTCCTGAGGATATTGGACGATACATTCAATTATAACATTATTAAGTTACAAACGCGGAGGTGGTTCTTCTTCTCTATCCTCATGGATATGATCGATTTCCATGTTGTTATACTGTAGCTTGCACATATAAATGCGATTTTCACCGGGTGTTTCGGCGTCTTGTTTTTGCACGAAACATTTCGCAAAATCCCGTAATACACCATCTCATCAGAACCTATATAATATTTATTATAATGAGACGCAATACTCTGTAGTAGATTGCCAACGGGTCGCACCTAGCTTGAGAGGAATCGCTGATTTTTTTTCTTCTCATCTCTCAAAACCTATCTCATAGTTTCTTTCGTGGCTCTCAGGACCCCACAAAGTTTATCTACCGCCACCTCATCCTTTTCCTAATCTACACACCGCTGCATCATCATCGTCGTCGTTCCATCATATTATTATTTTATACGTATACACAAACACAACATCTGCGTGAGCAACCGCTCTCGCGATCGCGGGTGCGATACTGCATTAAAGTCGTATGCATTATTCATCCACGTTGTATTCACCCATGTTTTCATGTTCGTCTAACGTTATAAATAATAATAATAATAATACCAAATCGGGTGTATGATAGTATCGTCGTACTAAAGTCGCAAGCGAAACGAAAGAATCAATGTAAGAACCAGGGCCTATGTATTTTAAATTTTGAAGTTATATTTTAATTATCTTTAGCCTATAACTTTGTATTATATAAATATTTTAAGTGTATATATGTATATATTTATTACCAATTATAATAATCGTGATAAATTACGGAAAAGTTACACATTTAATTCTTACGACAAAAACAAAATATAGGTACACATATATTTCTATCGCTTTTATTTAAGAAAATTACTTGTTAATTTTTCTCTTAGACATTATCACTAAACATTGATGTGCTCAAAACTTATATCGAGTGGAAGCCGCACAATGTTAGTTAAGTTTAAAAATTTAATTTTTAAATTAAATTCTTATTAATATTTTTTTTTTAAAAATCGTCAAAGAAAATATGGTTAAAAACTAGATGATTAATAGCAGAAAAGCATTTTAAATAATAATAGTAGTAATAAAAACATAAACACACTCTCTTGCAATTTACACAAGATCGATCTATATTTGATTTCCGATGCAGTTCTGCAGTTGTATGTTTAATATTTTAATATAATATAATATTATTATAACAGTATTATAATCAATCAAAGCCGTTGATTATCGATAAAAAAATACCTAGTTAATAAATTTAGAAAAGTGCTAAAAATATCTCAAAAATTTTATCACTTCATATATGACATATAAAAAAGGATTGAATCATTTAAAATATTAGCGTATAACATATTAGTTCGAACAATGGCAACGAGGATACGGTATAACGTTAAGCTAACCCTATTAAATAAGTCGCTTTATGTTTTCGTTGAACAATT